TCCCTTGCCTGGATATCATGTTGACCTCACTTGAACTGGGGCCTCACAAAGAGATGCTCAATCCCAATGGGGCTGGCACCATGGCTCACTTGGTTTATCCTCTGCTTGCGGCACTGGCATCCCATATGGGTGCCGGGTTCTAGTCCCGGTCACTCCTCTTCCAGTCCAGCTCTCTGCTGTGGCCCAGGAAGGCATTGGATGATGGCCCAAGTGCTTGGGCCCTGCACCCGCATGGGAGACCAGGAGGAAGCACCCTGGCTCCTGGCTTTGGATCGGCACAGTGCTGGCTGTGGCGGCCATTTGGGGAGTGAACCAACGGAAGGAAGACCTTTCTCTCTGTCTGTCTCTCTCTCTCTGTATGACTCTACCTGTCAAATAAAAAAAAGAAAGAAAAAAAAAAGAGAGAGATGCTCAGTCCCCTCCAAGCCTTGCTTCCCCCACTCCTCACTGCTCTCAGGCCCATAACCAGAGACAGATCCCAAATTCCGGCACAGCCTGATTGGGGGAAGAAGTAGCCTGCATGTCCAGGGAATTACGGGAGCTTACTCCTAGATAAGGGACATAGGAGGGCTAATTTTTTTGTGTGCAGCCCCCATGAGAGGGATTAGGGTTCTTCTAAAGAGGTTCCAGGAGTTGCCTTATGCCTTCCTCAAGGGGAGGGCACAGTCTGCACTCTGATCTCAGACTCCCAGCTTCTAGAATTGTGAGAAGTTTCTGTTGCTTATAAGCCCCTTAGTTTATCAGATTTGTTTTATGGCCGGAGTGGGCCGATCTGAATCCAGGAGCAAGGAGTTTCTTCCGAATCTCCCATGTGGGTGCAGGGCACAAGCATTTAGGCCATCTTCAACTGCTTTCCCAGACCATTAGCAGGGAGCTGCAGGCCAAGGCTTTTACCTGCTGCACCACAGCACCGGGCCCCTCTTTTATTGTCTACTATAAGGACATTTGTTCATTGGATTTAGGGCCCATTCCATGTCCAAGATTATCTATATCAGGATCCTTGATTCTATCTCCAAAGAATTTCCAAATAAGTCCACATTTCACAGGTGTCAGGATTAGGACATAGAGGCATAGATATCTTTTGGAGACTATTTAAACCACTGCATGGCTCATTAGAGTGACAGACCAGGCTCAGGGGAGAGAGCTCAGTGGGTAGAGCCTAATTCCTGACATAAGTGCATGCCCTCCTGATTCCTGGATCAACACGTTGGCTTGGAAAGGTCATTGCTATTTACTGCTGGCTTGTGGAGTGTAGTGCTTCCAGCTAACCCACAGACACACAGAGGGGACCAGAATACATCTCAGTCTACCACTACAGCCATAAACCAGCATTTAGGATCACAGCCCCCCTCATGTCATGGCTACATTCACGACAGAGCTGACCACTGATACCTGAGTGATAATAAATGGTTGCTATTGTGGGCCTTTGACTTCTGAGCTGGTCTGTTTTACAGCAATAGCTAATTCACAGATTAATTTCTCTCTTTCAGAAATCAGTAGTCAAAGAACAACACAACTTGAAAAAACACAATCATCAAGCTTGATGTAACAGCAATATAAGGAATTCTGGACTCAACATCAAAGAAGTATTAAGTCTAAACAGATGTGAAGTATTCACAAAAGATGAGCATATTTTATGTCTAAAAACAAATTGTAACCCTCTCCAAAAAAAAAGAAAAAAAAACTCTACAGGAAAATTTGAGTCAACAAATGACAGCCAAAAAGAAAACTAAATTTGTTCCCCAAAATTGTTCACTCAATTAGAAAAGAAATAATTCTTCCAAAATATTTAAACTGCAGAACATGGACTCATAAGAAATGAATTGTAAGAGGCACTCTATATAAAAATATGTAGGATGCAGCCAAAGTCATACTAAAAAAAAATATAACCTTAATACATTTGTTAGAAAGTAGGCTATTTTTAAAATAGGTGAATTGAGACTTCAACTCAAGAAGCTAAGAAAAGACTATCAAAATAATACCCCCAAATAAGTAAATATAAAAGCAGAAAACAATTAAATGGTCCAATAGAACCCATAAATATACTTTGGGAGGCAGAGGGAACATAAAGTGGACAATCTGTGACTAGTTCAATCTAAGCAAGTGAGAAAACCAGGAATGAACAAGGTAACATTACTGCAAATCCGGGAGACTTCAAAAAGCTCATGGGAAATATGCACTATCTTTTAGTTCCATTTTCCCATGAATATTCTGAAGCACTCCCATATAGTACAAGTTCACGAGAGAACATTACAGAAAACTTAATACATTTGAAAGTCAGAGGGAAAACACATGACTTTTTAGGAATCAGGAGACCAAACTGAGGGCAGAAATAGGAAATTTCAACAACTCAGTAAACATAGAAGAAATTGGAAAGATGGTCTAATATCTGCACCAAAATATCCCCAAGTCCAGTTAACTCTCCCGGCAAGTTCTACCAGACGTTTAAGGAACTGAAAATTCCCATATGACTTGATTAAGTAAAAATATTTTACTTGGCCAGCGCTACGGCTCACTAGGCTAATTCTCCACCTTGCGGCACTGGCACCCCGGGTTCTAGTCCCCGTCAGGGCGCCGGATTCTGTCCCGGTTGCCCCTCTTCCAGGCCAGCTCTCTGCTGTGGCCCGGGAGTGCAGTGGAGGATGGCCCAAGTGCTTGGGCCCTGCACTGTTGCCGTTGATTTCTCAACAATGTTGCAGTGGATTCGTTTCTGAGAGGGACAGCGTGGTGGGGGCAAGAGGCACAGAGTCACCACACAGCCCAGGAGTCGGGTGAAAGCAGGCTTGAGGCGAGCAGCCGGCAGACTCATTTATTTCAGTTGAAACTACATCTTATATAGCCAAGACCAGCCAATCTGGTCAAGGGGCGGTCTATGCCCCATCCAATCACAGCCTGCCAGGCAGTTTCCAAAGCCATCCAATCACAGCCTGCCAGGCAGTTTCCAAAGCCATCCAATCATAGCCTGCCAGGCAGTTTCCAAAGCCATCCAATCACAGCCTATAGCCAGGCAGTTTCCAAAGCCATTCCTGAGTAACTAATGCTTGCTTGCCAGTGGCCACCTTGGCATGGCCCTCTCTTTCCCCCCTTTCATTTAGTTTTGAGCAATGGGAGGCATGATTCTTGGCCATACCATTGGTGACCCCGTTTCCATGTGGTCTCCGTACGCAGCTGTGCCTGTCTTAGGTTGTCCCCCAGGGGATCTTTCCTGTCATTGACTAACCAGCGCTCAAATCGAGAGACCACAGGATTGCTTGCTCAGAGGAATGAGGAATAATGGTTATCAGGAATGGCATGACCGCACACAGGCTGTGGGCCATCTGAGTGGCTGACCAGAGCTAGTGGGGTACAAAACAGTAACAGGCATGGCTATGGGCAGTTTCTCAGGGTTGGATGATAGGGCAGGTGCGTCTGCTAACAAGGCGGAGTCTCGGTCTTGTTCAGCTGGTTCTGGTTGGCTGTCAGTTGCAGGCTTGATGTTTCTGGCTGGTACCCAAATGGGCTGTCCCACATTCTCTGGAAAGACACAAGCATATCCTCGACCTTTGGTTAGCAGAAGCCTTTTTACAGGTGTTGGAATCCAGGGCCTGAATTTTGCGTCCGCTCCTACATTAACAGCAAATGTGCAGGTGGGATGGGGTCTAGCGGCTGCCCTAAGAGCTTGGGGTGTCCGAGTACTGCCACAAATGTGGGGATCCTCACTGGGTGCAGATGGGATGACCTCGCATGAGTTATTGTCTAGAGGTTCTCTAAGTTCATCCCACGGGTATGTGGGGGGTGGCTGACTAGGCATTGCTACCTTCTTTGCTACATCGTTATTTTCACTGTCAGAGCTCCTCTCCCTAAGTCATCAATCATTGTCTGTGAGACAGGGACCTGGAGTGTCAGGTTCTTATCACTCACAGATTCACTGTGTTTGATAATCTGTGCAGGATTCTGAGAGGGGGGTATCTTTCCCATGTCTGAGCGCTTAAGAGCGGCACGGCATGCCAGCTCTAGCCAAAGGAAAGACACGCACAGCACTGCTGCCATAACAAAGCAAATTCCTAGCACCTCAGCTGTTGATGGCATTTTGCAGGAGGTTTCCCTACATTAGACAAACAGATAGTGGTGTATCAGATTGTAAGTATGTCCTGTGCTTAGTGGGGGACTTCCTTGATTCGTTATGTCAAGGCCGTATGCCCACACGGTGTCTCCGGAGCGTCACCTCTCTCAGTGAGGGAAGATGACTTGGTTCTGAATTCTGGGATGATCAGTCCCTTATGTGAATTCGCTGGGCAAACTGAAAGTAAAAGGAGGAGCCGAGAAGCGATGTACGCCTCAGGGCGGTGTGTGCCTAACCTGGGGTCACTTAGACCGAGGACGAGGACAAGGAAAGGGGAGAAGGAGGGGGTTCTGTGCTCACCCTCACAGAACCGAACAGCACACAAAACACTGAGGGGCCTTCTTGCTGAAATCCAGGGGGGACCTCGCCGAGTCCGACAGGCTGTCTTTTCTCTCAGTCACGTTGGGACGCCAGATGTTGCCGTTGATTTCTCAACAATGTTGCAGTGGATTCGTTTCTGAGAGGGACAGCGTGGTGGGGGCAAGAGGCGCACAAGAGGCGCGGAGTCACCACACAGCCTGGAGTCGGGTGAAAGCAGGCTTGAGGCGAGCAGCCGGCAGACTCGTTTATTTCAATTGAAACTACATCTTATATAGCCAAGACCAGCCAATCTGGTCAAGGGGCGGTCTATGCCCCATCCAATCACAGCCTGCCAGGCAGTTTCCAAAGCCATCCAATCACAGCCTGTTGCCAGGCAGTTTCCAAAGCCATTCCTGAGTAACTGATGCTCGCTTGCCAGTGGCCACCTTGGCATGGCCCTCTCCACCACACTGCACCTGCATGGGAGACCGGGAGAAGCACCTGGCTCCTGGCTTCAGATCAGCACGGTGCGCTGCCCGTAGTAAGCCGGCCACAGCAGCCATTGGGGGGTGAACCATCGGAAAAGGAAGACCTTTCTCTCTGTCTCTCTCACTGTCCACTCTGCCTGTCAAAAAAAAAAAATACTTAAGTGAAAATATGAAACTTTCCAATATATTCTGCATGGTTAGCCTACGTCTGCTAACCAAAAACAGCAAAAGAAAGAAAAGTCCAAGATTTCACATTTTGAGCATTACATTTGGTCTGGCTTGCTTTAAGCTCTGCTTCCTATCTACTGACTGTACTTCCTGTTGAGCTGCTGCATTTGATGTCACCCACAATTTGCATACACAGATCTCGGTCACCATGATAGACCACTTGCCTGTGGCAGGCAGAGAGGCCACGATGTTCCAGAGAGTTAGTCACTCAATCTCTACTCATTCAGTCTCTACCTTGCAGAGGCTTAGGGTACACAGATGAACAAATGCTGGTCCCCAGCTCAAGGGCTAGCTGTATAGAGAGAGAAGCAGGAGTGGAAGGCAGCCGCTGCAGTAGAATATGATGTGTGTGGCCAGAAGGGGGAGAGTTCTAAGGGTACAGAGGAGAAGCATCTCATCATTGTGGGATGGCAGAAGGTCACAGAACATGGCCAGGAATTTGCCGCTGCCTTATTTATGGTAACGCTAACTTTGGACAACAACCTCTCTCCCATTCTAATTCAAACCACTGGGTAGGGATCAACCTCACCTTCAGCTTCAGGGAGTGTTTCCCAACCAGTAAGTTCCAGACCCCAGGCCATCAGCGTCAGCGTGGAGCAGACATCACAGAAGGCAAGAAAAAGAACATGTGTCCTTTTTTCCATTTGTTGATTCCACTCTTCCTTCCACTGGCGTGAACATGACACCCACTGCTTCACAGGAGGCCTACGGACAATCAGGACACAGACCTGACCTGCAAGTCTGGCTGGCTTTGGCTTTATACTTCTCGAAGGGATCTCCTGAGACTGGCCATAGCTCAAGAAACCTGAGAGCAGAAGGACTTTTTCCAGACTAAAAATAGACTGCTACAGGCTGGGAGGCAGACAAGGAAGAGGGAGGCCAGGTTCCAAGAGTGGAGGGCAGAGGGATTACCCTGTTTTCTGGCATCGCTGTGGGGCAAGGCCCCAGAAAGGTACACATTCATTAATAGCCAAGAGTACCCAGGCCTGAAGGAATCAGGAAGACAGGACCACAGATGCCACTGTGACTCTGTCTCAGCCCTGGTGACTACACCAATGGCTTCCCTCTACCCCAGTGCTTTAACCCCTGGAATGGTGTGGGGTTGTTCACAGGGTGAAGTTTATCTTCACCACATAGCCAAGGGTGCTTTCATTCCCTATCCCTACCCCTACTCCATTCTACCTCCTTTCTGTATCGATATTTTCCAAAGCAGGTGATCAGATCACTACCTAGGGGTTCCACCCATATCCTCAAAGTCTCTGGGTCCCAGAAAGCAGTGTTCTCAGCAATGTCCTGGAGAGGAGAGGCTAATCCAGACCCTCACTCCTGCCCAACTCCACTGGAGGCTCACCAAATGATGACTTTGGGAATAGACAACCCAAGTAACACTCCAGGTCAAGTCATCTGTGTATCAGGTATCAAAAAAAAAAACTTATCTAGGTGACTCAGAGATTACAGACTTTATGCAACTGATACATATCAGAGAGGAAAGAAAGGGCAGGTGACACCTTGATTAAAGCTGGGTCAGGGTTTTCATAAAATAAGGGAAAGGGGAATGCACAAACTTGTCATTTTTGGCTGAGGTAGCTCTTCTTGACTTTAATAAAAACTCCTGGTTTAAGGTCATTTCTGTCTCTGTACCCCTTGCTAAAGGTCACTAGTGCAATCCCAGTAGCACTGAAACAGTATTTTCCAACAAGTACTTTTGCAAGCCTTGTAGCTTTTTATCTCCTCAAAGTTTACAACATAGAAGGGATACACAGCTAAGGAAGAAGTAGTTGTGGAGTGAGAAGGCAGGGGGGAAATTGGGAATGCTGTCTTGTGGTTTTCAGTCCTTTCATACTGGCATCATGGACTCCATCACCAGTAAGAGTATGTAGGAAATGACCAGAGCCCTCCACACCGAGCTCTCCTGCGTGCATTCCTGAAGATCATCATTGCAGATCCCTTCGAGGTCCTGGCTTCTTGCTCTGCTCAGGAAACCTCCCTACATCTCTGCTCAGACATAGGGTCATCCTTGGTGGCTGTCTTTACTGGGGCCAAAAGACAATATTCACCTTTATGAGCCACAGGGACGAGCAGAAAGATCCAGAGACTGCTGAGCCCTGCCTAGCCCAGCTTTTGACTGCAGCCACTTTTTACCCTCCCTGGCTTCTCTTCCTGCCAGGTCAGGCTGCCGCCCTGGCCAGTTGAGTGAGCCCCACCTGCCTGTCCTCTGGGATCCACACCATCTTTTCCTCTCTCCAGCCACACTCAAGGCCACCATCCTGCGTGGTTCCCTTAGGCCTGCTCACTGTTCTCCTGCTGGTCCTTCAAGGTCTCAGGTGCACTTTCACCCACCAGCCCTTCCCCCATTTGCTCTCCTGCCGTCCTCCGTCAGGGTGTGGCAGTTCCATCGGCAGAGCCCAGCAGCCCTCTGCTGGAGTTGGCATCAGCTGGCCCAGTTGTTTCTACTGATGTTGGAAAGGGCGTCGTGGAGACGCACTTGCAGAAACCCCAGGCTCGGAACGTGGAAATGAACCTCTGCCCCCAGGACACAGAGGCCTGCCATCTGCTCAAACAGAAGACACATGCACCTGCCAACACTCTGCATTTTCTAGTGGAGTGGCATGTGTGGGGGGAGAAGAGGACCATTTTTGGATTCCCTGGAGTCTGTCTGTCCTCAGCTATTTTACAGGTGAGAAACTTAACGCAGCATTACTACATGAAGTGCACGAAAGTAACAATGACCTTGCCATCTCCCTGTCTCACTATGCCTTCCTGCCTGGCCAGTGGGTTGGGGTGGGGGTGGGGGGCGGGCTGGTAGTACACAGGGTGAATTTGTAAAGGTGCCCCTTCTTAGCAGACATACTTCTAGAAGCTTCCTCTTTGGATGATTGATTTAAAAAGTGCAGCCCCAGGAGGGACAGCCTGAGCAGGTGGAGCCAAGGCACGATTTCCCCCTGCTCACTCACTGGGAGCCCTGTGGTGTCCCACACAGCAAACCTGTGGGAGTCCATGGCTACTGTCAGCTCAGTCCTCCTCCTGCCTACTCCTGACAACATTCTGCCTGGCTATCAGTGCTGACTGATACAAATGAGAGTCCACGTATGCTGGGGCAGGCGCTTGGCACAGTGATGAGGAAGCCACTTGGGATGCCTGCATCCCGTGTCCGAGTGCCTGTTTGAATCCGGACTCTGATCCCCCTTCCAGCTTCCTGCTAATTAACGCACACTGGTCATGCCAAGCTCTAAGGTGTGGCCATGGTGTTCCTGAAGCATTAGTTTTAACTAACAACGAAATAATCAGCTTTGTAAATCAATCCCAGTTATGGCTGGACTGAAAGAAATATGGCTGGGAGTCACTGAGTTTCTAATTTTGGTTTCAGGCCACAGATCCCTGTTTACCTATTCTCTGTCCCTATAACAAAAGGACCAGCTTATTTTCTCACCACACTTTTTCATACCTCCCCTGACTACTCTCTGGCCCTCAGAAGCTGGCTGTCCAGATGGATAACGGGGATCAGGCTCAGCCTTGGTCACTGGGAAGCTCATTTTGAGCTTTCTCCATCTCAGATAAGGCAGAACTCACAATCTCGTCAATATTAGTCCATGGGATCAGACTCTGGGAGCTGTCTGTCACTCCTACACTGAGAGTCAGAAATAAAACCCAAAAATCATTTCCCTAGCAAATATATTACAAATAATTACATTTAATTGGCAGTAAAATATATATCCTGCGGCGTGTGAGCCCAAGTGAGAGTGTGTACTTCGGAGAGCTGCACCGCTAGGCTGCCTACTGCACAGCCTGGAATACTGCACTGACATGAGGAAGGGCATTCTCACGACCAAATACTAAATGAAAATCAGCCCCAAAATTATCATAATGTCTTTTATAATTTTACGGACTGACGCAAGCAGCTTCTGTCTGTCAGAGGCTTTATAAATGGCAGGGAAAACAAGTACCCTGTGGCCGACATCTATTAACAAGATGAACATCCTGGGCACACTATTTCATAGCACTCCCACTGGCTCCCAGAGGCATAATTAGGCTTGAATTTTTCATGAACATAAACATCATTTTCTTTGTCCACTACGCTCTGCTTTGTGCTTGCCTTTTTCCAGCATTCCACCCAGAGAGTCAAGCTCTCATCAACCAAAAGCAGTTCTAGGGCTTTCTCCAAGGGTGCCGCACGCCTCTTCCAGGAAGCTGGGTAGCCCCTTTCAGGGAGAGCTCTTCCTGGCTGGAGTGAGGCTCGGCACAATCTTGTGAAGCTGAGTCTCCCTCAGGCACTCGCAGGTTTTGGAAATGAAAAGAAAAAAGAATCATTTTTAATCCCACAAGAATCTACTTTCTCCCTACATAAGTCATTTTAAAAAAAAATAACCAAAACTGACATGACTGAAATTATTCCTGCTTTTTCCTCCTGGCTGATTCAGTTGGATGCTGTCTGGTCTGGTTTGCAGTCATGTTTGAAACTCCTTGCCAGTGCAGTTGATCAGCTGTTGTCCCCCGGAATCTTAACACATGAGTCTCATTTCCCTGTTTTAGGTGGTTCTCCGTTACCAGTGGAACAAAGTCCAAGTTCTCTGCACAGCCTACAAGTCATGATGAGCCAATGAAGTGGTGCTGGGCCAGGCACTCAGCTCTTGGTTTCTAGTGATCATTCCTGACCCAAGTAAGGGGGACTCTCTATACCCATCCTTTCCTAATTTGTCACTTACTGGAACTCACCAATTGTCACTTGCACGTCATCCTCCAATGCTTACTTTTTCTTTCACAGCTCATCTTGGAGTCCTCTTGTCCTCCGTTATGGTAGAATTCCCGTTTCATCTCGCAACGCACCAGTTGCGCTCTCGCATTGCTTCTGTTCTGCTCAGCACACTGCATGCGTCTGTCTTCTGGAAATGTTTCTCTGTGGATATTTTTCTTGGTAACTTGTTATTGTTTGATACGAAATTCTCTTCCCCATCTGGAGTTGTATTTGCTTCGTTGCACTTCCTCGAATGTTGATTCTTCTGGCTGTCTCATTAGTGTCTCTCTTATCTTCAATTTTTTCAGGTGTGTTGTAGATTTTGGTTGTGTGTTTGTTTGGGGTTTTAAGTTTTCCTGAAAGCCTCACTCTACTTTTGGCTGTGTTTATCACGGCTCCCTACTGTGGTGCAGCAAGGTGGCAGCTGCACGGGCAATTTGCTGATTCCTGGACGCGGGGGCTGCTAGTGTCTTAGTGTGTCCTCAGCCATGACAGGTACTGATGCTGGTGATACGATCACTGCTCCCACTTGATGCTGAGATTTCTGTCACCTTTTGGTTGGCATGAGCAGAGGGGATGCTTTGCCTACCACATCCCAGCCAGAACCCCTTCAGATATCTGCACCTGCCTCCTGAAACTCGGCGCTGCCCCTAGATTACCTTTCTTTGGTTCTAAGAACCCTCTTCTTTGCCTGGTTGGACACTTAGATTGAAGGGGGAAGCCAATCCCATTTGCCTTCTGATTTTCACACATTCCTTTTAGTTTCCACTAAGAGCGCCCTCTCTAGTTTTCCAAAATATAAAAATTTAAGAGATACATTTTCTTAATTTTCTAGGAATTTGTATGGAGCCTGCAGTAGATGTATGTGATTCTCTTGATCCAAGAGACTTATTTATCAAACAGTATAATGAGGTAGTTAGATAAGATTGAGAGGTTCCCAGAGCAGAGACAATAGAAGCTGCAAAATTAGGATATGAACTATGTCCCATTAGTGATCCTAAGACTAGAAAGTTCTTGAATCCCATTTCTGTCAGGGGTTCATACACTATCCATTATTATAACGATGATTTGGTCACCATTTGGTAATGCTACTATTGTCCAGAAAACATTTTTATGCACAGTGCTCACAAGCTAAATCAATCCCATTGATTACAGTATGATAAATGATCCAGAAGCACAACTCCTGTATCTGATAATTGCCACTTTATCAAAGGAAGACATCTTTAAACAGCTCTAATAAGGATGTTACATGCTTTGCATGCAGAAACTTGAGAATTGCAAATGAGCCAGCAGTAGTCACCATTGTGGAAAGAGGTTGAATTAATTTGCTAACTGTTTGGGAGCCACAGGATGCAGCGGAAATTGCACACAAGAGGAGGAGAGGTGACAACTACGCTCACACTGTTCTTCCTTCCCCAGGCCCTCTGAAAAAGAGCAATGAACAGCATACCGCACACCTGTGGTCCTCCTGGCCGGCTCCCAACCCCACCAAGTGGAAACCTGAAGAGGTAAGGACTTCTTGACTAGTTTCTGACTGTGTTGGCGCCTGTGTGAGCCCTAGAGACTGCATGTCCCTAACTCTGGGCATTTGGCATCCTGCTTCTGCTGGGGCGAGTTGTGCCCCACGGTGTCCCCATGGGGTTGAGAAACTGCAGTATAAAGGTGATTTTACCTGAAGCTCCACATTTTTCTAGTAAACTTAAGAAGGTGAGCAAACCAGTTTTGTGTAAGCAAAGGCATAGTGCAGAAGGCACAAACGGCACTTTATTTTATTTTTTTATTTGACAGAGTTAGTGAGAGAGAGGCAGAGAGAAAGGTCTTCCTTCCATTGGTTCACCCCCCCCCCCCAAAAATGACTGCTATGGCCCGAGCTACGCCAATCCGAAGCCAGCAGCCAGGAGCTTCCTCCTGGTCTCCCGTGCGGGTGCAGGCGCCCAAGCACTTGGGCCATCCTCCAACTGCCCTCCCAGGCCACAGCAGAGAGCTGGACTGGAAGAGGAGCAGCCGGGACTAGAATCTGGTGCCCAGATGGGATGCCAGCACCGTAGCCAGAGGATTAACCAAGTGAGCCACAGCGCTGGCCCACAAACAGCACTTATTTTTAAGGTCAAACATGAGATGTGGAAGAAATGTTGGGATTGTGGAGAGATGACTTTAGACTCTGCAGCCACACCTTTCATGGTGTTGGTTTGATTCTCCTCTTATGTTTCTTGGGCAATTCAACAGCAAGTTTTGGGAAGCCACCTTTGTAGCAGCAGGTGGCATAAACAGACTCACCCTGTTCCCACCACACCTCTTCCCCTGCAGCTTGCCTCCCTATCTTACGGCTTCTGAAAAGGTAAAAACTACCTTTCCAAGCCGCCTTTGTAGCTCAGAGTCCTAAATTCTGCAGAGTTAACATACCCATTTGAGACTATCAGAAGTCAAGGACCAAGATGGTCTTCCTGATCCTCCCTGTGTCTGTGACAGCACCACGGGGCCCACACACTTGGCTAAGGGCCCTATATCTCTGCAAAGGCAGTGGACAGAGCATGGTTAAAGACCAAGTTCCCAGTATGGCACCAAAAGCCATTTCTGCCCACCTTCATGTGATAATTCTCTTTGCCATTTAGGAAATGCCCTCGGTCTCTGCACTTGGAACCATCCAGGCCAGGAGTCTCTTGTCAGGATACAAGACAGGGATGCTGAGGGTCTTTACCAGCAATGGGCCTCAAGCTGAAGAATACAGAGATTCCAGAGATGTCCAGGAGAAAAAAATAACTGAGAATGGGGCCCAAAAAAGGTAGGACCAGAGTGATGACACCAGGTTGTCTGGCCTGGCCAATTCCCAAGTCAGATGATACAGTAGGAGAGAAACAAGTCTGGAGGAAAATAATGCATTTGACCCTGAAAATGCTGTACTGGATTTTGAGACTAGAAGTTCAGAGTGCAGATACCAGGGAAACGAATGAAATACAGACCCAGAACTTGGGGAAGATATTTGGTCTTGGGAAGTGGACTTGAGAAACATAGCACATTTGTTGAAAGTACACGTCCCCTTGTTAGTACATGACCTGGCAGGCCTTTGGGTGCACACATTCCATATTCACTGGAAGTGAATGTTACCCAGTTCGCATCAGGAGTCTGAGTTGAGCTAGTTCTCAACTACATAGAATTTTTTTTATATAATGAAATAACACATGGTTGCAGAATTTAGGCAGTATCCAAGTCAGGGCCTTTCTCCACAAACCACTCTTTCCAAATTTAAGCTGTCAAATACTAAGGCCAGAACCTGAAAAGAGCAAAGCAAAGAAATGCAACGGAGAAAAATTCTGTGTTTGCAGGCACTGCTCTGTGCAGTTTTGCTATACTTACGGGGTAATACCATGTGTGGTCAGAGGGAGGGTGTGTGTGTTATCTATGCACTCTCAAGCAAGCCCCTCCAGTAACCTGGCTCTTTAGGGACAACCAATCTGTTAGTCAATCAGTCAATCCTTTAGCTGATCAAATGCTCATTAAACTTTGAGTCAAGTGCTTGGCCATAGTGGCCAAGGCCAGGCTCGACCACAGGAGAAGACCAAGTCCCACTAGAATTGGGGCAAGTCAGCTGTGGTTGTAGTGCTCTTCTTCCCCCTCTAAGTCCTGAAACCTCCAGAAGTAGGTCAAATGCTCCACAGGGGTTCTGACTCCAGCATTGGACTGTCCTTGGGGACTTTCCCATCCTCTTCCCTATAAATGCCATAGCCTCCCCCCAAACTCCTCCACCGGGTCTTTCTAATGAGCCATCTGAATAGAAGCAGTGCCCTTGTTTTGAAACACAATCCACACATGTCAAAGTTGGAAGCCACCACAGTACAAGGTAGCAGTCAGCAAGTTGATGGGTTTTTTATTGTTCATTTTCATTTTTGCTATGGAAAATTTTGAGCATATGAAAAAGCAGAGAAAATGGTATAACAAACCCTCATTTACCCATCACTTATGTCCAGTCCTTATTTTAAAAATTACTTTTACATAAATCTTATTGTGTATGAGCAGTCTTAAGAATCACGTTATGAGGCCGGTGTCGTGGCTCACTTGGTTAATCCTCCACCTGCGGCGCCGGCATCCCACGTGGGCGCCCGCTTCTAGTCCTGGCTGCTCCTCTTCCAAGCCAGCTCTCCGCTGTGGCCCGGGAGGGCAGTGGAGGATGGCCCTAGTGCTTGGGCCCTGCACCCACATGGGAGACCAGGAGGAAGCTCCTGGCTTCAGATTGGCATAGTTCTGGCTGTAGCGGCCATTTGGGGGGTGAACCAATGGAAGGAAGACCTTTGTCTCTCTCTCTCTATCTGTCAGATAATCAAATTCCAAAAAACACATTATGAAAAAAATTAGTGCATGGATTTTAAAGCTTTTTGCAGCCAAATAAACATATCTTTTACTTTTCCATGAATTTTTAAAGTACTGTTGTATATTTAAGGTCTGCTACATAATGTTATGGGACACATACCACATACAAATGTTTTGGTTACTTCAGTAGAACACACGAACAACTCCATCTTTTGGAGTTACCCACCTCTCCCCCTCCCATGGCAAGAGCTGCTACAATCTACACAGCAAAAATCCTGCATAAGAAAATTGCACAATACTTGTCACTCTAAACCATCCAGTGTATCTCTAGCTTCTAAGAACCTTTTTATTACAACCATAACCACAGTATCCCTATCACAGCAAGAGTGTAGTATCAAGAAATGTTGACAGTCATTTTACTGATTGGTGCTTTTTCTAGCAAAATGAGGAGTGCACCTGCCATCTTCCACTTCCTGCTCCCAGCGCAGAGTCGTTTGTTTCTACGGTAAAGCACCTGGATTCACAGCCAGGAATGAGCTCACTTAACACCCTCTACAGGAGCTCTGTCCAGGGATGCTTTGTATTCCCTCACTTGAGATTGTTTATTCCATTTAAAAGAAATTCTGGGCTGCTTTCATAGCTCTCAAGCTGGATGAAAATTAATTACAAGTTTGAAATTCCAGCCTTGATTTAAAGATCCCTCTAGGGTATTCATTATTTTATTTTTGCTGTGGATTTTAACTATTGGGTCCTTTACTTAAAAAGGCACCCTTGGGTTTTGTTTTCAACAGTGGCCCCCCCAAAGCAATTCCAAATACTGAAATATAGAACGAACACTATTCAGAACAGCTTGTTAGCAAAAGCCTCTTGCTGTCAAGCAGAGGAGGCAGCTGAAAAGCGAACTACCCAGTGGTCTCATCCACTCAACTGAAACATTTATTGAGCATCAACAACATGTGTACCTGGCGTTATGTAGAGGCTATGAAAAGAATGCCCAAATCAGATGCCACTCGTGGGCAATCGGAGGGGCTAACAGAGAAGCTCGGAGTGCGGTCAGAGCCTTCCCTCCCGCTGCAGGCGACTGAGCAGACTCCCAGAAGGGGCGCAGTGGGAACCACGTCCTGCAAGGCTGGCACTGGCTTGGGCAGAGAGAGGAGCAGGCACCAGCAAGGAGAACTGGAGAGCTGAGCAAGCCCGTCCACTGGCGCTGGGGGCAGAAGCAGCGTGGAGGACGGTGGACAGGGAGGCTGGCTAAGTGGACCATCTCAAGGGGGACAGGTTTTGGTGGAACGCAGAGCAATGATTCTAGGGGTCAAATACAAGTCCAAGGTCAGGGCATGCAGCACCCAGGGAAGGGAGGACAGATCTGGAGCCAGGGCAGCGGGGCAAGACTGACCTCGGCAAAGCCAGACTGTATGGGCAGGAACAGCCCTTGACTGTCCACCTGGCCCGAGACAGGCAGCCCTCAGCCTATGGACAGCACTTTTCTGGTCCTTTCTGTGGCCCGTAAACTACCTTCAGGGCCCTCCATTCAGTGCCACCTTCCTGGTGTCTGCTGGAGTAGACTTCTGTCCCAAATCACTAGTTATTGTTCTAGGCTGTTACCCAATGCATTTCCAACTCCCATCTGATTCTCTCCATTTTGTCTTCTTCTTTGAGCTTGACCACTGCCTGTTTGTCTCTGCCTGAAGTCCTCACTTCCTGAAGAACCAAAACCGTGGGATTAAATTTCAAAATCCAACTTCAGAATAGATTTGAAGTGAATTGTAATGAGATGATGGCACTTGGCTTGATAAAAGAGTAAGACCACTGGGTGGTCACTGCATGGCCAATTCATGGCCGCCAACCCTGTCGCTCTGGCTTCCTGTGCTACCCTCAGCTTCTACAGAGTGAAGTAAGAACTTAACATCATTATTCCCAATGAACAGGAAGGGAAATATTTTTCTTTCTTAATTAACTCAGTATGTAAGATAGAAGCCCTTGAGCCAAATCCTGACTCAGATTTCTTCTCCTTTAAAATTGTCTATTTGTGGTCTTTTTTCACTAAACTGAATAACTTGAATACATTTCACACAGCTTTTGTGATAGTTCTTTTGATTTTAAAAGCTTCTTCCAGGGCCGGCGCTGTGCTGTAGTGGGTAAAGCCACTGCCTGCAGTGCCAGCATCCCACCCATAGAAGCAACAGTTCAAGTCCTGGCTGCTCTACTTCCGATCCAGCTCTCTGCTGTGGGCTGGGAAAGCAGTGGAAGATGGCCCAAGTCCTTGGGCCCCTACACCAGTGTGGGAGACCTGGAGGAAGCTCCTGGCTCCTCGCTTCAGACTGGCCCAGCTCCAGCTATTGCAGGCTTTTGGTGAGTGAACCAGTGGATGAAAGACCTCTCTCTCTTTCTCTGCACCTGCCTCTGTAACTCTACCTTTTTCCCAGGGCAGGCATTTTTGGAGAGCAGATCAAGCTGTGAGACACCAGCATCCCAGTTGGTACCCATTTGTGTCCCAGATGCTTCACTTTTGACCCAGCTCCTTGCTTGTTTGCCTGTGAAACCAACAGAGGATGGCCCAAGTGCTCAGACCCTTGAACCCATGTGGGAGATCTGGAAGAAACTCCTGGCTCCCAGCTTCAGCCCAGCCCAGTCCAACCCTGGCAATTTGTGGACTTCCCCTCCCCCCCACTCTGTCTGTAATCTGCCTTTCAAATAATCAATCTTTTTTTAAAAAACTCTCCCTCAATATTAATATAGCTGGCCAAACTTAGTCATGGCTACTCTTTGTGTGATATGTCTTTTCCTCCTTTTACTTTCAAGTTATTTATAGCTTTCAGTTCAAATGTTTCCTATTATCAGCATATAGTTGATCTCTTTTTTAAATCTAGACTGACAATCACTACCTTTTCATTAAGTTAACTTATTCACATTTATTGTTATTGGTATAGTCGGGTTTGCCTATGACATTTTAGTTTTTTGCTTCTGTTTCTCTTTTACTGATTTCTTTTTCATTAAGAGTATTTTCTAAAGTAAAATTCTATGCCTTTAAAAATGTTCACTATATTTTTGAATTAGTGGTTCGAGAGATCCTCCTTCTTAGCAATTGCAGTGACAGACTAAAGAGGACTTCTGTGGGTCCAGCTTGAGTCACCCACCTGAGTCCACTGCTGTTTTGTGACTGGCCAGGCCTGGCTCTCATGCCAGCCTGCTGTTGGGGTCACCTTCACTCAAAGTGTACGTGGTGAGAATGAAAAGAGATTGTTCCCTAAAGAAATTGCCTGCTGTTTCTGGAAGGAAATTATTCTATGCAAGGATTAGGGCTGGCTTCAGGTAGCAGAAAAAAAATTTTTTTGACAGGCAGATTTAGACAGAGACAGACAGAGAGAAAGGTCTTCTTTCCGTTGGTTCACTCCCCAAATGGCCGCTACAGCCAGTGTGCTGTGGCCGGTATGCTGTGCCAATCTGAAGCCAGAAGCCAGGTGGTTCCTCCTGGTCTCCCATGGGGTGCAGGACCCAAGCACTTGGGCCATCCTCCACTGCCTTCCCAGGCCACAGCAGAGAGCTGGACTGGAAGAGGAGCAACCGGGACAGAATCCAGTGCCCCAACTGGGACTAGAACCCGGGGTGCTGGCGCTGCAGGTGGAGGATTAGCCTAGTGAGCCACGGTGCCAGCCAGGTAGCAGAAAAACAGCAGCAGCACAGTCCTGATTGGGGCGCACTTCTTCTAAGTTACATGCTGTGGGCTTACGCTCTTAAGGATAGCAGAGCCAAGGGGTCTCCAGGTTGTCTTGGGCCTTTCTCAGAGTCACAAGGATGGCTGCTGAACTCAGGCCACCACCTCCAAGTTCTAGGCCAGGAGGGAGAGTGGCACCTCCATCCAGAAATCACTGCCTCCCCAGAAATCCCTAGCTGATGTGCACATAGATGTCACTAGACATCTGTCATGTGCCCTCTCATTTTATGGGTAGCTGAGAACTGTAGTTTTTATGCGTCCATCCTCAGTAACACTCAGGGGATGATGCTAAGGGGAAAGACAGCAAATTAGACCACCAGCTGGTCCTGCCTTAGAGAAGATCTGACTGTGGACAAAGCAAGGCCCAAAGTGTGCCAGAGAGGCAGCTGCGCTCCTGCTACCTCTGTGGCTGCTGGCAGTGACTGGCCTACCATGGTCTCTTCCCTTCTCTGACTTCCCCTCCCCTTTCTCCTCGCCACCCCCAAGTAAATGACTTACACTTGAGTTCTTTTTCAGGTTCAGCTTCTGGGGGAACCCAAGCTGAGAGAGTTTGTATATACAGTTGTATAATTGAGAGTATGGGAAATGGGGGCAGCAGCTGGGTTAGCTGGTGTGGTGAGAGCCAGGCAGGCATTCAGGATCAGTGCGAAGACAGTTATCAGCACGGAAGGTAAACCTTGCTCTAGTGGGTTTCCGCCATCCTGTTACCAGGTGTTGGACCTCTGATGGCAGAGCCTTGCTTCCCACGTAGCTTCTCCATTTGAGTGATGCTATGTCAAGAGTCGCATTGACTCTTCGCCTGCTGCATAGCTTGTTCCCGCTTGTTAAGCTGTGTAGGTTTAAGGCTTCCCTGTTCTGTTTCCTTCATGGACCTGATGGGGGCTCAGCCAGAGTATTTCTCAGGCCAGCTCCCATCCTGAATTGGTGAACCTCAATTTGCTGGTTTGGAACATTCCACGTGATCGAGCCAGAGACCCCAGGAGGAAGGCAGACCAGGAGAGGTGCTAAGAGGTGCCTTGAAAGTAGGAGGCAAAGTGAATATCACTACTCCAGACAGGAAGCTGAGCTTAGAAGTTAGCCGACTACACCAAGAGGCATTCAAGGTAGAAGTGGCAGAATCATCTTTTAATTAGTAAATATAAATTTTTCTACCTTTTGAAGGAAACCTCTGTGTGTGTACATGAAGAAAATTTTATGCATTAGGATGATCTTCAAAAAGTTCATGGAAATGCATATTATGAAGAAACTATACCTGGATTTCAATTTTTTTAACACCACAGGCCTAGGCTTCAATTCCATTTTACTATGATTTTTCTGAAATGTGCCTGTATCTGAGTCTTGGTGAGTAAACTTTGATAACACTATGTTTGACACAGGGGATGTTAACACTTGGTTATTACAGTCTCACGCAAATGTTTTTTTTTTTTTTTTACCACTTAAAAATCAATCAGGGCAGATGTTCAGCCCAGCAGTTAAAGTGCTTACATCCCATATATGAGTATCTGGATTGAAATCCCAGCTCTGGCTCCTGACTGCAGCTTCCTGCTAATGGGAAGGCTCAAGTACGTGGGGTCCCTGCCATCCATGTGGGAGACCTGGATTGGATTTCTGGTTTCCAGCTTCAGCCTGGTCCAGTTTCTCCTGCGGTGGGCATCTGGAGAGTGAACCAGCAGATGGGAGTACTCTGTGTGTGTGTGAATTGTGTGTGCATTACTCCGTATCTCTCAAGTTAATAACATTAACAACAGACAAACCAGAGACCCAGAGCTGTTAAGGGGCAGAAATTAAACAGTCCTGGGTGTATAGGTTCCTGTCCCAGGCTCTCTCCACCAGACCACAAGCCCCATTCTTAGAATCCTTGGGTGTCAGCTTTCCTGGCTGATAATGATGAGCTAAGCCTGCTTTATCTCCAATCACAAAGCCTTCCAAAGTATAAAATTGCATGGGAATAGAAGCCTTGGACAATGACAGCAACAGGATGGTGAGAAACACTCACTGTGGCACGAGAAAATGTTCCTTGTCTTTCCCTGGTGTGTGGTCAACTCTTGGAGGCCACTGCATGGGTGGATACTTTGTGATGGGTCTCCAGCCCCATGCAATGTGGGAGAAGCCTGTCAGTGTGCAGACTACAGGGACTGCAGCTCCTCCAAAGCAAAATCAATGTTCACATCAACCACTAACCTACAAACAGCTGTTGTCCCGGGATTGCAAGATAGTAAAACTGAATCTGTGATAAGAAGCAGGCTTATCACCAGAACCTCACGTCCAAGGGTGAGGCTGAAGATGGAAACCCCAGGCTGGGTTATCACTCCCCCACTCTATAGTCCCCTGGGTTTCTTCACTAAAGATCAAGCACCTGTGACAACAGCCATTACCCAGGAAACCAAGGGCCCCAGCCTGGTTTCACCTGGTGCCAGCGTGCACTGAGCCCATGCCTGACAACACTCCTTCCACTCTCTGCAGCCTTCCCCTCCACATCCAGACAGGACGGCTTGTCCATCCCAGACCCCAGCGATAGAAACCCTCTGTGCTGTCGAGACACCCTCAGGGCTAGGCCGCTTGTCACTGCAGCCTTCATCAGAGCCATCTGCCACTCTGGAACGTCAGCCCTGCCTCCACCGTCCCTCGAGGAGCCATCTGCGACTCCTGGGAGGCAGCCATGGGTATTCTAAGTGTGACATGCGCCACCAGGAAATTAATTCAGGAAACATGACATACTGGGTTTTCTTCTTAAGGAGCTCCACGAGTCACATTAGCATACTAGAGGTCCTGAGAAGACCTCACTTTCATGAGAACCAGCTTTCCCAGACTGACCTGAGCACAGGGCTCAGTGTTTTGCATAGAAGTCTTGTTAATCCTCCCCGGTGCTAGTCTTTGCCTCCAGAGTCTCTAAGCGGTCACCATGAGGTTAGAAGATGGTTCCCTCTGTAGGTTTTAGTAGATGGCTGGGGGACAGGAGGCTATATATATATATATATATATATATATATATATATATCCCTGATGCTCCCAGGGGGATTCTCAATCCAAGCCAGGACAAAACAGACTACTCATTGCCTGGTGACCACTCCTCCTGGCTCACCAGGACAGGTAGGCCCACATTTGATTACCAAGCACAACTATTAATAACCCATGTGGGTGCAGGGGCCAAAGCACTTGGGCCATCTTCTGCTTTCCCAGGCCATAGCAGAGAGCTGGATTGGAAGTGGAATGGCCAGGACTCAAACTGGCATCCATATGGGATGCTGGGACTACAGAGTGGTGTTTTAACATGCTGTGCCACACTGCTGGCCCTGTAAATTCATATATTATAAATAATTATTATAAATACTATATATATTATTTGACAGGCGGAGTTAGTGAGAGAGAGAAAGGCCCTCCTTCCATTGGTTCACCCCCAAAATGGCTGCCACAGCCAGCACACTGCACTGATCGGAAGCCAAGAGACAGGTGCCCCCTCCCGGTCTCCCATGCGGGTGCAGGTGCCCAAGCACTTGGGCCATCCTCCACTGCCCTCCCGGGCCAGAGCAGAGAGCTGGACTAGAAGAGGAGCAGCCAGGACTGGAACCCGGCGCCCATATGGGATGCTGGTGCTGCAGGGGGAGAAATAACCAAGTGAGCCATAGCACCCCCCCCC